GACGCAGCTACCCACCTGAACTACTACTGTAAATTATATGTTCATTAGTATAAATAACCACTTCACACAGACTTAAATTACACTAAAGTAAAAATGGATTTTATCCCAATAGCAGGTCTAAACTGCATTGGAAAGCAATACAGTAATGAAAATCAAGAGGGTTAAATTTGTCAAAAGCCAATGGATTTTTTAAGGGAAACAGCAACCGAAAAATTAGCACATAAAATAGATATTTGTTATGTAGCAATGGTTTGTAAAACTTGTATTGGAACCAAACTTTTGGATTAAGTTTAAGTGTCAAGTTTCATCCATTTCCAGGCACGCTGGCCAGAGGCTATTAATAGAGACAACCACTTAGAGAATATTTTGGAATTGAACAAATGCATTTTTCTAGGGTATCTCTGGACACCCCGTTCTTTACAGGGACAGACCAGTGTTTCTTACTTGTGCAGTCTTGAGGACAAATTGCCTTGTCCTTGACCTCAATGACATCACAGTGACCGTCAGGACAAGTCTTGAGGCTTGGAGAGCAGGTGGAGTAGTTGGTTGAAATCCCTGGAAAAAAAACAACAAGTAGTGTCGAAAACACATTTGGAGGCTAGTTTTCTTTTAGATAGGTTGCTACTCTATAAGCTCCATAATCATACTGTAAATTCTGTTGAAAATAATAAATTACAGCTAGACAGACAAAAAGAAAGATTGATAGGTTTAGGTTTTAAAAACAATTTTTATTCCCGTCAATTAAAAAAAAACAACAACCTCACATCCACCTCTTCCCCCACACAAAAAATACTGTAACAACTATGATCAAAAACACAGTTTAAAATGAAGCAATTACTCCCCAAACCTCACTTCAACAAGATAGCATTAATTCCGCATTTTTTCACAGCACACAGCACCTCCCCTACTGCCCACATCTCCTGGAACAAGTCAGTCTGATAAGTAAGCCTGTAATGGGCAAGCCCTCACTTCAGCCTGGACACTACTTGCACCCCGAAAACAGCTAGCACATCCAAAGTCAAAGCATTCGTCACCTAGTTTAACTGGCTCTCAGTAATAGCCAGTTTAGCTGAAGCCAGTAAATGGTTAGCTAGTTGGTACTGATCTTCTCCTTTTTGGGGGTATTTTCTACAAAGACTTTGAGATGACCAAACAGTCGTTTCAATCTGGTGCAGTACAGGTGACAATGGAAACAGTTTCCCTTTGCAAACAGAAAGGGCATCTGTCATCAGTTCCAGGTTGAACCGTTTCTAAAAATGAATTAGTGGCTACAACAGTCTGCAGAATTCCCTCAGATTCTTTTGCAGTGGTAGTTTATACGCACTAGTTCATTAGAGCTTTTAATCTACCCCCATTCAGCTTCTCCCTCAAATGTATTTCAGCAGATCTTGAGTGTTTTATAATGACTAACCTTAAGACAGAGTGAACAAAATGATTCTTTTCTAAAGAATGACAAAGAAAATTCTCTATTTAAAACTCAAACATTTCAATAGCTGATGACAAATAACACTACTATGTGGTTGTGCCTGAGATTCAGAAAGAGGAGGCTCTGTTTGTACAGTGTTTTCTGTGAAAAAGTGACTGAGCACCTCTAGATCTGTGTTCCCCAATGCTGCCTGCAAGTTTTGATAAAAAACAAGCTGATCCAGTGCCCTGATCTGACCTCCAACTCAGAGGCCACAGCAGCAGCACTTCCATTCTTTCTGTCTGTGTCAAGCAGATGAGTCTTTTTTGTGACACTCTTTCTCATTAAAATAGCAGTACAACTACTGTAGGAGAGATTAACAATGGACAATTCAGAGCAAATTTGTAGATGAAAGGCTCCTCTAGAAGACAATTCGCACTCCCAGACTCCAGCTTTCTTCCTACTGCTCCTGTATGCATTGTAAATAACATATTCAGATAAAAACTGGATAAACAATGCAGCCTACTGACATTCATCAAAAACAGCTGTACATCAAACTGCAGCCCCCCTAGTTTGTGGAAGAAAGCAAAAGCAAGATCTCTCCATAGCAGAAGGCCAGGAGAGTCCAATAATCTCTGCAGTGACTGGAGTCAGAAAGCTGCCACCCTGCTGATGTCAATGAGGTCTTGCCCCCCTCCCCTCAACTGGCAAAAACTGCACACTTTCTGCCTGTGGAATCTGTCCCAGAAAAAAAAAAATCTACCAGTTTCTGAATCTCTCTCATGTTAGCTGGTGGAGGATCCACACTTATCAGCCTGCGCCACAGCACTGAGATTGTAAGAGGAGAGACTGGTGGACAGTTACATAGGTGCAAGAGGGAAGATTACATTTGCTGTTCCCCTGTCTCCACTGGCATCTCCCAGTGGGAGACCCCAAGCCACTGCACGTCTCGCATTCTGCCCTTTGTCTTCTCTCAGCACATGACAGGGGACAGTCCTTCTCCAGGTTCCTCTTCCCAGTTGCTATAAACAACAACAGTAGCAGCAAAAAATGTGAGAAACCACCAATAAAACTGTGGGCACCTGTTATTTGACTGGTCTAGCAAAATGTAGAAATTAGCATTTGGGTGTAAACTTATTGTTAAGCCTTTGAACAAAGATAAAGACTGAGAACAAGTGCATTTAAGATTTCGATTAGGAGACACATCTTTATAAAAATCAGTAATGGAGTGTGGAACAAGCTACCCACTCATGTTTTCGAAGCTGATATTGTAGCTTTTTTTAAGAAATGTCTGGATATGTTTCTTAAATAAACATATCACATACGGTACAAGAAACCATTAACTCATCAAACTTTCAATGTTCTTGTCTTAAACTCATAACAGAGAAAAGGAAATTAGAAAGCAAATGGATAACATAGCACATTTACTTTTTAGTAGTATAATCAAAAGTGCATTGTTTGTCTTTTATGAATTGAAGTAATATAACAATTTAAAGAAGAATATTTTCCCATCACTTAAAGAAGAACCTACCTGTCCCTACAAGTGTAATGGTCAGCTGTGTTTTTGCCTGTGTCTGCTTGTTCTGTCTTTCTTGAGCTACAACAATGTACTGTAGGTCCTGGCAATCCTTGTTTCGAAGTGAATCAGTACGATTGACATATAGAATTGCTGAAGAATCCTCTCGACTCTGCTCAATAGCAACTGCAGCATAGCACGTTTTGACCAGCAAGGAGGCATTCCTGTCTATATTAAGTTTGTAAGTGACTTCGATTCCCTGGAATTTCTTGCAGTTGTCCACACAGACAGTGCCAATCTGAAATAAATCGCATTGAAAACAAAGACATTATTTCTCCTTAATCTTGTCTTCACTGCCAGTCAAGTCTGATGCCCTCAAACATCAGGGGCTGCGCTATTCAGTGATCAAATATAGATGAAATCAAACACTCTAAGAGAATGAGAATTGGCTTATAGCAATGAATATATAAAAGACAGTCTTGCCCATTTGTGTCCTCCATTGTATGTACCCATGCCCTCTAAGGAAACTCGTATCTCACTTGCGTGACTAGAGATATTATAGGCTCTCTGCTGCCACTCCCTGCCTTACATTGGAGTTTAATTACATTCGGAGGTTTTTGATAATGAATCAAATGAATGTATGAATTTAATGAGTACTAGATATTCCTTGTGGTATGATAATGGAAAAAAAAAATTAATTGAGATGAGAATGTACTTGAGTGATACTGTAACATCTTTGTAGTATGTTACAGGCACAAAAAACTACCTGTTTCAATTACACCTTTGCTTGTAAGCTTAATAAACATTTTAACACATTTGATACATGTTCAATGCTTATACTACACATACAGCAGTGAGCAAAGCAAAATTCTATTTTAAATAAAAAAGAGTAAATGCAAGGATACCTGTGTATATGGGGCAGCTTTCCGGTCTACAGTAAACAGGAAGCTAACATTGGTAAAGCTGATGTAGACGGGCAGTACGGTGATGTTGAAATGAAGCATTACTGTTCCTTCTGGACCATGGAACTCTGTGTCATTGACAAGATAATCCAGCTGGAGTGACCTTTTCTCCTCCATTGATAAGGTTTTATTTAGAATTAGACCTGCAGACACACAATAGCATTAGAAGCACGGCTTGAAAAGAGACCTTAAACCACAAAAGGGGGTTTCAAAACCGATCTCTACAATTACTTACCAGGAATCTCTACACAAAAAATTAGAAAAAAATATTTAACTTAAGAATTCCTTCACACAGGTGACATTCATTTTAGATACAATATGAAACCGCTCTGCATACATACTCTAACTTAGAACATTTGCAGTGTATTAGGGATGTCTTTGTTTTTGAGAAGGAAATAAAATACATTTATTAAAAAAGTAGCTTCCTTCTGTCTTTAGTTCCTACATCTGACCTGGTTAAATTAGTGAAAGTAGATAGGGAAATACAGTATTTTGCCAGGCTTTATAACCCCAACACCATCTAAAAAGAATGCACAACTGACTGGATGGCAGAATATCAAAGGACAGTATAGAGTGAAGAAGGGTGGAGAGAGTTTATTTCCAAGAGAAATGAATCTGTACAAGACTGATTGATTAGACATTTGTCCCCCAAGTAAAAAAAAAAACATCTTTAACTGAAAGTGATGTTGCCCTGAGCCCATTACTTCACATAGGGGCAAACTTGTTACAGAAAAGTACTATAAAGTATTACAAAGTATTAGAAAAAAAACATTCAATTAGAATTGCATTGAATTGAATTAGAGATGCAATCATAACCAATTTGTTTTACTGCATTTACTTTATTCTGTCTAGCACAAAAGGTAATATTTAACTTATGAAGTTCTTTGGAGCAAAGAAGTGATTGAAAATTAAATTAATATTTGAGAAATGTATTTATTATTTCAGCATTGTTTTCTTCAAAAAAACGTATAAAGTGTGAGTGAGAAGACACAAATCTGGGAAACAGCAATGCTGCTCAAGAAATTAATGCCTCTCTCTTCAAATACCGTGATAAGCATTATTATCCAAAAGCTATTTTCTATAGGGCATTAACATAGCACGTTGACTGTGCTGCTATGATTAAGATACCAGTCAAAGAGATCAACTACAGCAAAGAGAGAAGATCTGTATGAATTTACATCTTTAGGATAATGACAAGGTCAAATGAACTACTTCCTGATTATAAATGATACAAACACCTAGTGACACAAAAGGTAAAGAAGATAGTGGATTTAGAAACACATCTTTACTCAGCAGTTGATGGGTGACTGAAACAAGTTGCCTAGCTAAGGTGTTGTAGCTAATTAAATGGGATATTTAAAGAAGCTTTTGTAGCTATTGGGATTAAATATGCAAAACACCAAGTAAGTATGATAGTCTGAAGATTCTCCTCTGACTTGTAATCATTCTAAAAAGCAAAGGAGGCCAATTACACTTTTCCCCTAACTTTTCAATTACATTTTTTCCATCCAATTCTCCTTATTAGATCTTGATAATCATTAAGAAAGATCTTGGCTTGAGTTAAACACAAAGCTTATGCTGTATTAAAGAAAATTATGTTTATGTAATAGCAGACCCCTACACTAGAGTCTAAAACATGACATTCATCATAAAAATGGTTTGTTGAACTGAAAAAAGGCACCGATGTTTAAAAAAGGCAATCTATGCATTAATTCTTGGCTGCAAATCAAGGCTGAAGATACTGCACTCTGGCCTCATCTTTTCTTACTCAATACTCACTATATTCATGGACTGTCCCTCGCACCTGGTTGCCAAATTTCTCCTCTTTAAAAATATGTTCTATTTTAAACGTTTCTTTAATCCAGGGGTCGTTGGTCATCATAGTTCCCACATACTTGTTATGACTCTGGTCTTTAGGGTATATTGGCGTGGTGTCTTTATCATAAACCAGCATTTTTCCCAAGACAGCCCCCTGAAAAAGTAAAATCAAACAGTATGATTTATACATCACATTAAATATGACTACACTTTCCACATGCATGCAATTTAAGAAAAGGGGATTAAATATTTTAAAATTATTTTCAAAAATCACAATCCACCAATTTAATGTTCAGATAATATTTGCATGCTAACATCATGCAAAGGAACAAGCAAAGGAGATACAACATTTCGGCTGTGGAGTCTTCTTCCGGTGAAACCTTTACTTGTTGATGTGCAGCCTTGAACATTCTAATATTGTGTCCAAAGTGTAATTTGTATAGCCCATTCATCGATTTTCAAAAGCAGTTTAGTCCACGACAGGGTTGCGGTGAACAGAGGCAGAGAATGTCAGAGAGGATCCACCCTTGATGAGATGCCAGTTCATGGCAGGGCAAACACAAGGTCAGTTTGGAGATGACAGGTAATGTAGGCTGCATGTCTTTGGATTGTGGGTGGAAACTGGAACACCCAGTTAGGTGGCAAAATCCCATATAGCCACAGGGAGAACATACAGTAAAGCACCCCAGATGAGAATTTGAATATGTATTCTTAATTACTGTTACTTTTCAGATGCTCTACAAGATTGCTCATAAAAAATGCATTTGGATTGATCACAAATATATACACACCAAAAATGTTAACACCTTCCTGTTTATTTATAGTGGGTGGCATTTTATCTTAATTATTTTATTGTCATTTCTTGTTGAATTTCAGTCGACAATAACCTTTCAACAATTACAATAATCATTGAACTGATTTTTGGGGTGAATGCCACATGGCCCTCTCCATAAGGGACCTTACTGAGACATTTTTCGAATGTGTTTATCGAATGGCTGGAATCACGCAGGGAGATAGGAGGGTGATCTCAGGATTTAAGCCCACCTCTTTTCGGTTAAACTCGACCACCACCTCCACTGTATCTGTGCCGTTCAGGAAGGGGGCGCTGTCGTCCTCATCATAGACATTCACCAGCAGTGGCTGTGAGAGGCGTGTGAGCATGAGCTCAGTCCTCACAGTGCACTGCACCAGCAGCTCGTACACCTCCCTCTCCTCGCGGTCCAGCGGTCTGGACACTGCCACCTCCGAGCTGCTTTCATTGAACACAAACGGAGATGACTCTTCTGTTACGACAAAGAAAAACACAATTGCCTCATATAGACTGATGTGGACTATTTCTTAAATTCCAGCTTTTTAAAGCATGCATGCACAATCCAAGCACCGTACTGAAGGCCAACAATGATATCACAAAGCACCAAGTCCCAGCTCTTGCTTTCAAAGGGACATAACATGGTTACTACAGTAGCTCTTTCTAAATGATCAGCAACCTAAGACCAAATAAAAATGGTTATATAAAAGGCCCCAAATTAAACACTCTCTTCAATAGCAGACTCCTATTGCAAAGAAAAAAAGATGGATGTATGCATAATGGTGTTTGTGGTGTAAATTAGTTTAAACCAGTTGAGTAAATGGAGTTGATGTTGGGATACCTGTCTCTATGCTGTAGGTTATGGTGAGGTTGGGGCAGAGGTAATGTGGAGGCAGGCGTCTGAGCTGACGGAAAACTCCAGGCAGTCGGTTCTCTTTGATGTGAGGACTGGAGTCATGCTCTGGAAAGCACAGCTGCTTGGGCATCTGCTGGCTGCAGGAGGGTGCTGTGGTGTTGTAGAAGTTGATGTAGATTGACACATCCTGCCCATGGACGGTCTGCCCATGACAGCTCTTATCTCTGAAGGGTTTCTGGGAAGCACGTGCCAGTAGAGGCAGCTTCTTCACAGGACCAGTCCAGCTATTGGCTAGGAAAAAAATTCACTCATCTCAGTACAACAGATCTTTACTTGTTAAGGAATTATGTTTAGGTTTGAAGGAGGTTTAGAGTGTTTCTTCTTACTCTGGTTATTTTGAGACTTTTCCCTATTTTATTCTAGGCAATGTGTTACACAAAATGATGGTGATGCTTTGTTTAATCTCTATCACTTTACTTAGTTAGAATCAAAGCCTTTGATGGAAGTTTCTCTGATGTACTTTAACTGACTTAAACTTGTCATGACTTAAACTTAAACTCACATGGTGGGGCAAAATCACTCCAGTCCAAAGTCCTGTTTAATGAAAGGAGCCCTGTTCTCTCATCCAGGTGGAAGAGCTTGATTTTGGGGTACTCGGTTAATTGACGCAGGCAGAAGTGGGCGGTCTCTGACTCATTGTCGAGCATCACATGGAGCTGAAGAATGGGTGTCCCAGCTGGCTGTCCAACAAAGACATTCTCAGAGTATTTTTTCTGGGGAAAGTATAGTGCAAATGTGGCTGTGGGATAAAGAGATTGAAAGCTGCCATTACTTGATGAGTACTTGTTTCCCATTGATCAGTAACACTAATGGACAGTGGATTGATTTTACATACAGTTCTCAGTATTGAATAACATCAATATTGGACATACTGTAAACAAATCGATAAAACAAAAAATGTAATTAAATAATATTTTTTCTGTTAAGAACTTTTAAGTGACAGAATCATAATATCATATCAGACTGTATAAGCATATAAAGTACTGTATATATTCAGCATATCACTGCAATTGAACATATTGTATAATATCCTAGTCAACCTACCCCCACCTTTCATTAATATTGAAGAAATGTTCATATCTAAGAGAAAAACTAGTAGTTTACCAACAACAGACATTTATTCCTGCTTAATCTTTAAATGCATGTGTATCCAGATATTGGTACTCAGAACACAGAACAAGAAAGCCTCTCAGAGCCATAACCGCAGAAAGAACACCAGTAATTATAAAAAGAAAATAGTTCCCAGAAACACATTGTGGATAGATTCATGCTGGCCTATGGAATAATATGTTAACTGATCATTTTTCTGTTTCTGCGTATTAAACACAATACTGCCCCTGGTTTACAGTACTGATGAATAAAAAATGTAATTTTTATTTTCAAGAAAGACTTAGAGAGTTCTACAAATAAAAGCAAAACTCACATATGACTTGTCACCCTATTCTTGTTTAATAAATGTGCAGATTGTCCCCTTGAATTGTTCTTGACAAGCTTAATTACAAAAGATAGTTACATTCTTAAGAGCTTAATCATTACCTATAAAGCAAGAAAATGAATCCATCAAATACAAAAGTGAGTATGTTTTACAGGAAAATAAAGAGGTGGGTACACTAATAGAAATCTTGTTTGGATTAAGTTCCTGACCAAAGACAGAGGACAACCATTTTGGAGGTGAAACCACTGTCATTACAAAACAGACACTTGTGTCATATATTTCCAACTTTGATTCTGTTATCCCCCCTTTGTACTACAAGATCAATGGCAAAACCTCTGAAATGTCGCCGAAACTGTCTGGTTTTGGCTGCTTCATCTGAGTGGCCATTGGGTTTAAATCATGAGCTATGGTAATTCCACTTTAGGGAAACTGCTTTTCTAAATCTACCAATTATAAAAGTCGTTGAGTTCCAAAAAGACTATTCTCTAAGTAAAAGCAAATTTTGTTTATGGTAACACAACAATTATGCATTGTTAATATGTAATCTAAAAGAAAGTTTCTGCAAAGTTCAGAAGTTCATGCTCTGATCCTCAGTGAAATTCAGTGAAGCAGTCGACAGAAATAAAAGCAAAAAGGGTATAAGGTTGACAACATGGCAGAGTATCATTTACTGACACTCACAACACTTTGTGTAAAAAACATGCATTCAAATGCATTTCTTGTATTTTCCTCTTTTTTATTATTAATTAATATTTTATTAATTTGACTAAGGCCCCATCGGCAAAATATCTTGGCCTCCAAAATTTATAGTTATGGGAAGAATTAAGTGGTAGAACATCTCTGGTTTATATCATACAGAAAAGTGACAAAGGTGAAAACAAAGTTGACAAGCAGTCTTATTTTATTAAATACTGTAATCCTAAAAAATAAAACATATCCCAAATAAATTAAATGATTTGGTGCAATACGTTTATGTTTCTTGTATCCCTCATTTCACTTAGGAATTTTATAAATTTAAGTTTCACAGTAAGTTTGACAGGTGTTTTTTGTATATTTTACGTATGTACATTATGTACATTAACAATACCAGCATGACTTAAAACGTAGTGAACAGAAGCAACAGAAGATTCTGGAGACATCTTATGATCACTTATGTAATGCTGTTGCATTTCTGAAACAGTAAAACACATTGTGCAGTTTAAAGGGTTGTAGGTATCTGGAACGAACTGTCCATCCATGTTACTGATGACAGTTCCTCAGGATTCTTTTACAGAATGACACAATTACATCATTGGATCCATAACAATCAAACAAAAGCCAATTTGGTGTCCTCTTTTCATGTGTTCCTTAATTTAGTCTAAGCCTATGTAAATTAATCAAATTCAGTATGTGATGTAGTGTAGACTAATATCTAAATCCAGCAGAGGGAGACATTCTCTCATACATTTCAAAAGACACTGTGATGTACAAGGTTAAGTAAGTGTACAGTCATGTTTGAGCATACTTGATTTATTAAAGTGAAATACTGTACCACCATCTTAAAATCAGCATAAAGTATATGGATTTTCTACAAAGACTGTATTTGAACGGTTACTGGTTTAAATATTATTTATTTGAGGTTAGTTGTGTATCCCCTTGAATTACAAATGTTGAGAACAGACTTGAGATTTCATTAAAACTGTGCTTAAAATCAGAGATCTTGTGAGCTTTGTAAGATTGCCAGACATCCTATTTTTCTTAGCAGAATGTGAAGGTACTGAGAGCGTGGAAGGCAACTTTTCTTTTTTCAGACAAGCATCAAACCTTCATGAAATCACCTAAACTGGGATAAGGAAGGAGGAAGGGCTTAAAGCTATTCAGCATACTATCTAAAAATATTGTAACATGGAAAGTGAAAACCAAAGACTTGGTAGAACAGAGAAACCAAAGGCAGGACTTTTTTCATTTCTCTGGTCTCTTGCTATGTGCCATTAACTCCAAACCCTGGATTGAAATTCTACTCCCAAAACAGGAAAAATCATAATGGACCCATGTATTCACAAAGAAGCATGAACACCAGCTTTTCAAATTGCTATTCATGGTTCAAATGCACATTTTACTGATACATTTCGCTTCCTCTTCACTTTAAACAGGGAGATTTATTCACCAAAATATCTAAAAATGAATAATAAACCTCAACATATAAAACTATTCAGCTTTGGTAGGCTCATATACAATTATCTTTTTAAAATGAATGATAGGAATGTATTAGATTGTGTTGCTATAACCTAACAAAGCACCTAAGCCTTAAAAATAAATTCAACCACATTCTACAAAAAATATTAAAAGAGCTGTTTAGAGAAAAACATCACAAGAACACAAAGCTAAAATTGATTTTCTTTTAACCAAAAAAGCAAAAATGATGGACATAACATCTGCTAGGTCTTGCTGATATTGTCTTGACTTGCAGAGGGGATCAATGCAGGGAAGTAAAGTGACCTACATTAGGGGTCACACAGTGATTCAGAAAACTTGGATTCACTAGTGAGGCCTCACATCTCAGAAATGGAAATATTAAAACATATGTTTTTCATTGGTTTACATCATTCAAAACTCAATTTACTTCCTAGAACCAAGCTAATAGAAAGCAATTGTTTATATAGATGCTAATGTGTGTTGTTCTATCACTTGTATGATAAAAGTAACCTAGAATACGAAACAAGATGGGATGCTTTAAAAGAACAAGGACAGCAAAGTAATGTTTAATAACATTGTTTCCTCAAATATGACACTTTAGTGTCAGTACGTCAGCTAATATGACACTACCATACCTTTCTAGAGTAAGTTCCTTGCTCTACGTGACCATTTTGTCACCCCAAAACAGCCTCAATGATCTTAACTCATGGGTTTGACCTTTGGAAACTCCTGCCAGGATTACGTACTGAAGTCAGACCAATTCAATATGAACATATTGATTTCCACTCTCATGGGAGTGGAAGACTTTTTTATAGAAGGGGTTGGGTTTACAATAACACAGGCTTTTCCAAAATTAAACCCATTCTCTCCATTCTGAATGACACTTCTACGTTCGGCCCAGTTTTATTGCATGATCCAATTTACATCACTGTTACAGCTTCACCCTTTCAAGATCAAGACCACAGGGAACTTTAAAGGTATGACTCGACTACAGGATGAATTGGAGTTCAACAGAAATAGATCATACTGTAAGTACATAGAAGGCAATAAATGTGTACTTCACGATCATTATATCTGTTTAGAATATTTGAAAATAACAGATTTCAAAGATAAAGTGGGTGATGTAACATGGTATAAATTTCATTGACATTTAAAAAAATCTAGTTTAAGTACTGTGACCTCAATTTCAGTTTTACTCCAGGTACTGTACTGTATATTGTTTTATTATAGTTACCTTTAAATTCTAAATTGATTATAACAGTGCAACTCCAGTAATCCATAAGAAACAAAATTATCAAGAGTAATATGAAGAAACAAAGAGAGATGCGTCACTCAACAACTTTTATACTCATCAAAAGACATATTTTCGAACCTGGCAAAAAATTTAATCATGGCAGAGTTCAGGATTTTACATTATATACTGTACATAATAAAATTGCTTTAACAGCCACCTACAGGTATAAACCCCAAAGATTAATACATTCTCTTCTGCCTTTGGCTTTAATTATCTTTCTTTCCTACATACTCCACACAGACAAAAGTCATCAGTCTTCATTATATCCATCCAGCCATGAACATTTACAGTCTGTTCACGATATAGTCGAGAGCTATAGCAGGGCTACCTCCTGATAAACTGCGTATAAAACAGAAAGGTAAAACAACAAGTAATTTTAAAAATAACTCATTTATTGTTGCTGTATAATTTAAGGGAGCTACAGTAAAACCTGAATACTAAGTTAATTCATTTGGCAATGGTTTTGTTCATTAGAGGCCTTGATTGATAATACTTCTCAATTCAAACACATCCTTTTTCATGGCAACCTTTACAGCACTTCTGCACTTCTCACTATTTGGTTTAAAATTGATTGATCTTAAAAACAGGCATTAATGAACAGGCATTTAATGATTCATGGGATTTTTTTAAAGAAAGTATGGGGGATTGTGGGTTAACATAAAAGTGTTTAGAATTAAGAAAGTGCTAGTTTGTTTTGCTCTATATAAAATCCATTACTAAACATACCAGTTGGCACATAAACATAAGCAAATAAACACCCCCAAGCAGACATAAGCAGATATTTCTCTTTACTCTGGAACAGGTATAAGACACACAAAATCAAGCATGTACCATA